GTGTTTCTCAAGTTTCTCAGAATCAGTCGAAGCCCATTGAGTCCTCCCAGCCACTTCCTATTTCCTCCAGAGGTCGCAAGGATAAAGGAAGGCGAGCCGTATAGTACATATCAAGACAAATGGGCTTGTTCAGTAAGGCAGCGGTCATACACAAAGAATCCTGTAGCAAGCTATCCTCCCACAGTTGAAGAGAAACTCCACTTTTTTCACTCCATTTTTCTAACATAATGTCAGTATGGTTGTAAAGAAGATAAATTCATATTTTTTACCAACTATCACTGTTTGTAAAACAGACTACCCCAGCATTTCACTTTTTCTGCTTATATTCTTGTCTCATTGCTTCTTAAGCAGATGTCCACAGAGATCCTGAAGTCCTATTACAGGCATATCCAGCAAAGTACTTATGTTTACTTCTGAACAGTCTAGACTTTTTTTTGAATGTCCAGCACTCTTGAGAAGTACTTTACTAAGGCTAATCAGGTACGCTGCTTTTGATTACTGTGCTGTCAGAGGTCACAGTAGTAGCAGGGAGATACTCTGCACACACTTTCATCAAGTGCACTGGAAAGGTCTATCTTGGTTTTTAAAGCAGTAGTAATCCCTTCTACTTCTTTTTTTTTTTTTTTTTTTTTTTTTTTGGGCCCCCTACAGGTTTGTGCAATAATGTGCTAGCATGCACTGAAGCCCTCCATCTTTGAGCTGTCAGTGCTCCCAGGTCTGCCCGAGCTTCCTTCTGTACGGTGAACATAGTGGTTATTGCTAGTGGCTATAACAGCCGCTTGCAATTACTACATGTAAAATCCGGCAGGCTGGTTGTACCGACATTGATCAGTCGATCAACTTGGGTACATTCAGCCCACCCATACATGGCTTGCATCTTGGCCCATTTCCGCTGAACAGGCCGAGATTCAAACAGTCTATGGCCGGCCGTAGTGTGCCCTGAATGCAGAGTGTAGCTGGGGCTGATGTGAATATCTATTAAACAATGCAGATTTACCTGTTGGGCAACATGTAAAATGTAAGTCTAATTCCACTTTAAAAATAGAAGAAAATTAGAATCTGAAACATTTGCAGAGAAAAAAAAAATATATAAATATATATAATAAAACCTTGATTGGCAAGAGTTGTTGTTTTGGGGTTTTTTTTTTTTTACCTCTCACAAAAGAATTGGAGTGTCACTTAATTAGGTAGACGATAGTGAATTCTAATTGATTGCTACTGTTCTTTGCCATACTGAATAGGCTGAAAGGATTCACACAATGCATCAGCCAGTAACCTGACGCAGCTAAGCAGCTTTGTTAACTTTTAAGTACGCAGAATGTAGCACTCAGGGAAATAACAGACTGCTTTACTGCACAGTATTATTACCATTAACCTATTACAGAGTACAGATTTGTCTACTACAAACTCACCACCAAGTAATTTCTTTATCTCCAATTTGTTAAAGAACAAGGACTCCAGATTAAATAAATTTCGATATTTATTTAGACTAAAGTGACTAAATACAGCCAGATAATAATTTTACTTTCGCTAGAATGAACAAAAAAACACTAAAATGCAGTCCTGTACCCAACATACCCACAACCTGTGAGCTCTCCACTACTCTGCTTCATACTGGTTGACAGCATACCTCATGTAAGAGTGTAAGGAAAACTACTTTGTATCATGAGCTTCAAAAGCATATTCTTGTTAGCTACCCAAACAAGTTATGTAAAATATATACCTCTCACTTATTTATTAATTTAAGTTCGCTATAAATTATTTTAGTTATAAGCTAGAACATTTAAGAAAGAAAATCTGTTACCTATTGCTCTTTTATTTTCTGCCCTCAGACAAAAAAAAATCACGTATATGATGTTACTGTATTGATAGCCTGATTAGGGGCTTATTCACACCAGCCTTTTTGGGCAGCATTGCCCCACACAGTCCCAATGCAAAACAAGAAAGGAAAAACCTTAATTTAGGTTTGGACATGCTCACACTAATATGCTGCGATGGTGTTTGTTGTGTTGAAACATGATGCATTGTGATAACTTGTATATCATCTGCATTATTTTAACATGTGGAAGTGTTGCAGTGTTCTGCCACACAGTTACTTAAGTCCTATTTAAATAAAGGTAAAATGCATTGTAGCATCAGACCACATGTGCATAATGCACAGCAGCGCCTGCTGCTTGATGTGAATGGGCCTATACAATATTTAAAGTAGTAAAGATGTTTAGTTCTGAACACTATGTTGTCTTGCCCCTGCAGGGAAAAAGGGATATTTTGTGTCAATTGCCACCCAAGACCCTGATACTCACCATGCCAGCACTACTTCTCCACACCTGTCTCGTTGAGCTGGCATTAAAATGCCTTGTGTTGCATTGGGGTCAGGCGCTAAGGGAACTGGTGACGTAACTTCCTCGATCGTGCGTCGGCGCACGGGTCACATGCCATAGCCAGAAGTGCCAGCTGCAACTGAGGCAGGAGTGGCAGGGAAGCATCTCTCTACCCTTTAGGGCATTAAAAAAGAAGTTTGGGATTTTTGTTTAATTATGCTTACCTAGGCAGATGCAGCATGGACCCGATGCTGCATCTGTCCCCTGCCGATTCTAAGGATGAGAACTGAGCGATCAGATAACTGCTGATAGCCAAGTTCTCCCAGCTGCTCTGAGCAAAGAACCGAGACTGTCAGTCACCAGTGTCTGCTCTGCCCCCCCCCTCTACAGCGCTAAACTGGAGGTGGAGGGAGCAGCTGTCTGTCTCTCAGCGGTTCGCTGAGCCAGGTGCTGGTCCAGTCTCCTGGGTAGATCTTGACCATGTGGTCGGGATCCTTTCCCAGCCTGGACCTGCTGAGTGACTTTAGCCCACTGCTGACTGAAAATGGGTCACAGGAGTGCAGAAAGAACTGTGATCTGCAGGAGAAGTACAACCAAATGAGCTATGGCTGTACTTCTCCCCCTTTTAATATACATCAATTCTAAATATATATAAACCATGTCCAATTTATGCAGATTTTATTTAAAGTTGAGCTCCAAGAAAAAAAAAACAATTTATGTATTTACTAAAACAAATTAAAAATATTGTACAGTGCTGCAAGTCTAATGATTTCAGGCAGAAGGAGGAGTTTAAACCGTTTACAGTAGAAGAGTTCAGAGAGCATTTTGGAAGTATTTTTTTCATGTTCATGCAAATCTCTAATACTTAAACAGAACTCTCACCAACCACTAATCTATATTATTGTTTTAAAAATTTCAAGCACAGTTGAAGCCTGTGTTTGTGAGACAAGCCAGGTCTTAGATATACTCTCAGATGTTTACTGGGCTGTCACCAGGGGATAGAAATGTGGCATAGAGATGACCAAAAATTTGGATTTTAAGATGACAAATCTGGTGTTTACATATTATAGTCACTTGAGGGCCAGAGCATTGCGATGTCATTTTTTGAAAGGATAGAAGGAAAGCTATACTGACCGCTCCACCACTCCCCGTTTCCCAGCTGTTGATCAGTGGGATGCAAGATTTAGCCTGCTTTGGAAATACGTAGGCTTTTGGAAGGAGGCCAAGATCACTAATGAAAGGAAAGCATTGTCAAAGTATTGGTGACAGTTGGGTTGCTGATCAGAGCCAGTAAATCAGCTGATTGGGTTCCAAGTGGGGTGTCTCAACAGGACAGGCTTGTGAACTAGCTGTGAGTTTTCTACTCCTGTCTGAAAATGAAAAATGTTACATGACCCAACTAAATATATCTACTAAAGCAAATGATATGGATTTGTTTTCAGGCTGTATGTGACTGTTAATACAGACATTAACAACTGACACTGGGTTTCATAATCTTTAAATTTGTTACTGGCATGATGAAGTGATGTGTGTGTGTATATGAAAGCAAATAAAGTCCCACAAAAATGGGAATGTCCGTCTCTGAGTTTTTATTCAAAAATATGTAAAACCAACATTTCCTATTCCTGATATGTGCCTGCTGTACCATGTACTTGTATGAAAAAGCATCCTGTTCTTTGTGGAATGGTTAGAGATGAAACATGTCATATACACTTGAATGGTTCAGGAGATATACTTTCCTGCCCTCCTATATATGCCAGCTAGGGAAGGTAATATGCCAAACGATTTGTATTAATGTGACCAATCTGAAGATATGCCTGGTTTTTATGTAAGTCTTTCATATTCCAAGATATGAAATCATAGGGGAGAATGGATGTTGAATGTGGTGTCTTGTTTTATGCCTTCTCTGGAATGCCTTTGAACTCCTGTGAAGGACTTCGTTTACGCTTTTACAATATCCCAGATTGCACAGCGACCAGACAGCTTGGTCCCAGCTCTGTTGGGGTTTTATAGCGCGGAGCTCTCCTGCTGTGCCTGGTTTGCCTGCGACCTCTGTTATCACCACATGCCACTCAACAGTGGGGGGGGATGATTGGAGGAGAAAGCCTGCTTTGGGAGGGAGAGAGGTGAGACAACATGGAAGGGTTCTTAACAAAATGGAGGACCTCGTCCATCTCTGTGGGCACGATTGCTACACTCCAACCCCCTCTTATTAGCTTTGTTGCCTTCTCTGGTCTCTTCATTTCCAGCACATCCTTCCTGAGAATTGGTGATCAGAACTGTACAGCTAAATCAAGATGGGGCCAAAAACATTTTGTAAAATGGTAGAATTATAGACTCTCCTGAGTAAATACCCTTTTCAATGCATGCCAATAGTCTGCTACCTTTGCTTGCTGCAGCTTGGTGTTGCATACTAGTGCTAAGCCTGCCATCTACTAGGACCCCCAGCTCCTTTTCCTTCCTGGATTCCCCCAGAGGTTCTCCTAGCGAGTAGCGTGCATTCATATGTTTAGCCCCCAAATACATTAATTTACATTTTTCAATATTGAACCTTCATGTAGTTGCCCACCCCTCTATTTTATTGAGGTCTTCCTGTAAAGTTTCTATATCCTGTTGTGAAGTTATTCTGCTTAGCTTTGTATTTATACCAGACTCTATGATGGTTGTAAACAAATAAAATTGGTCCCAGAACAACTTCCAACTCTAGAACATTCAGAAAATTCACTAAGTGTTTATGGGGAACTGTATCAAACGCTTTTGGCTAAATCCAGATTACATCCCACATCCTCATAGAATGTTAACAAGTTGGTCTGGCAAGAACAGTCTTTTATAAATCCATGCTGGTTACTACTGAGGATATTATTTTTGTCTGTAAATTCATGGAGATGGTCTCTTATCATCCTCCCAATAGTTTACATACTATTCATGTTAGGCTGACTGGTCTGTAGCTTCCAGGTATATATTGTAGCTCTTTTTTGAATATTGGTACCACTTGGCTTTTTGCCAGGAATAGGATTAAATATTAGTACTGTCATATTAGCACATCATGGCTAACAACTCCTGGGGCCCGTAAAAGAGCTACCTTTAATTCCGCTTTAGTTAAAACTATACTGTTAGCAGATAATTCTTGATTTAAGGGACCATTCACACTTGAATGTGAGTGTAGCAAGGTGATTTTTGAGGCTTTTTTTTTTTTTTTTTTGCTCATTTGTACACACCTTTTTCATGCATTCCTACACTTGTCTGATAGAGCAGGGATACAATTGCATTTGTGACTCCACAGACACTGTTAAATAGGAGTGCCTGAAAAAAGCAAGCAAACACATTTTTAAAGTGATTTTCTGGTTATTTTTATGGGGCCAAAAATGCGCAACAAGTGATGCATCTCTCAGGTGTGAATGGGTCCAGTGAGAATAATGGGATTCTCCATCTTGAGCATTGGCATTCTACAGGAATTTTGTGACAAACTAGTCAGGTGTTGAATGAGGTCTCAAGAAGCAGAGCACTTCATAACATGTGACAGTGCCTAGGTATACACAGTTGTTCTAGCTTTACAGGAGCCTATTAGGAGTTTATCCTGCCCAACTATGCCTCTAATTACTAGATAACATTGATGGTGTCATCAGGGGACAGGGTCTAGGAATAGAAAGCACTGCTCCACAGTGACATTCTGAAAAAGTGGGGCTGGGCATAAGAGCAGTTTATTGTGAGTGTGAGGATAAGTGTGCCTGAATATATGTCCAGTTTAAAATATAACTTTTATTTTAAAAACCTTTTTCCAAAATCTTGCACTGAGAGGAGAGACGCACAGTTGTATTCTCCTGAAAACGCCAATTGCTGAGGTGTCTAGCTAATCCAATCGCTCCATAAATTTAAGTCACTGACAAACTGCTAGGCACAAGAGAACATTATATGCTGCATCCTTGTTTTCTGTAAATTAAACAAAGTATTGTATCCCGGGATAGCCAGGTAACTGGCATTTTGGGAAAGTCAGCAGCGACTGTGCACTTTTCTCTTATTCCAGGTTTCCTGTAACAGATGCTTATTATTTTGTTAATTGTAAGTTAATATTGTGTTTGTTATTTTTTCGGGGTTGTATTCAATATGTGCAAAGAGAGATCACACAAACACTTATACGTAAAAACATTTATTACAAATAATGACAGATAAAGAAAATATAACAATAATACTTAACTGAAGATGCTGTTTTGCCATGGAGTTCCCGTCCGCTTTTCGTGGCAGAGCCAACCAGATTCAGACACATGCATGATTGTAAGCTCTAGTTTGAGACTAAATATTTACAGCTACAACTGTAGGATATAGACTAGTCCAATATGTAATCACACATTCCTAAAAGGAGAGTGGTCTGGCTTGTCCATATAGTCACATTCCTTTGGTATGAGTTGGTATTTAACCACAAGCCTACAGGGCACTTATACCCCTTCCTGCCCTGGCCAATTTCCAGCTTTCAGTGCTGTTGCACTTTGAATGACAATTGCGCGATCATGCAACATTGTACCCATATGAAATTTTTAGCATTTTTTTTGTGACAGATCTTTATTTTGGTGGTATTTAATCACCTCTGGGTTTTAATTTTTTCTTAAACCAAAAACCACAGAAATTATTTTTAAAAAAAGCTTTTTTCTTAGTTTTTGTTATAAAATTTTGTAAATAAGTGATTTTTTCTCCTTCACTGATGTGCGCTAATGAGGCTGCAGTGATGGGCACTGATAGGCTACACTGATGAGGAGGCACTGGTAGGTGGCACTGATGGGCATTGACAGACATCACTGATGGGCACGGAAAGGCAGCACCGATATATGGCACTAATAGGCGGCACTGACTGGCACTGATAGGTGGCACTGATAGGCACTGAAAGCAGCTCAGATGGGCACTGATAGGTGGCATTGATGTGCACTGGTAGGCACTGATATGTGGCATTGATGTGGCACTGGCGAGCACTGATGGACAGTGACAGGTGGCACTGCTGGGGCCACACTGATCATCAGTGCCCTGATGATCAGTGTACATGTCCCCTCCGCAGAATGCCGATTACCGGCTCTCCTCTCCTCTCGAGCTGTCAGCGTGACAGCTCGAGAGGAGAGAAATGCCGATAACTGGCATTTGCATGTTTACATGTGATCAGCTGTGATTTGACACGATTGGAGCTAATCACATGACCGAGCCGACATCTTCAGCTCTTTCCGTGGATCAATGATCCGCTGTGTCTGAGGGGCACAGCGCCCCGCCGATCGCCACGCTGTGCGCTCCCTGAGCCGCGCATGTGCGGTGAGAATGGGAGGACGTCATATGACGTCCTACCAGAACGAGAGTGTAAGCCGTGTCCCGGGGTGTGCTCCCCAGGATACAGTGAAGTCACGAACGAGGAAAGCAACCCCAACACCAGCTTTTGCCACAACAGAATTTTACTTAGATGTGGCAAATAAACACAACCACAAATGCTGAAAACATACAATAAATTTACATACACCCAGCCCAAAGGCTGAGACCCTTGTGCAGCACAGCACAGCGCTTCCTGATGGATGAAGGTAGAAGGTGTAGTAATTTACCTACTGATGGGCACAACTAAGCTGCCACACCTTACCCGTTATTATCCTAAAAGAGCAGGAATCAGTGTATGGGTGTATGGTATTGGCTAGCCTGCGGTGCAGCACAACAGCTTACAATCTTACACAAATCTACAGTATTCCCCCTCCCATAACTGGTCCTGTAGCACGTGCCTCAGTATTCCTTCTGAGCAAAACACCAGTCTGGCTTGAGTTTGTGGAATTTTATCAGCTCTCCAATGTGAAATGTCACTTTAAGTTATGGAGTCCTTCCAATGATCAGTAATAACACTTGTGGCCTGACACAAACAGAGACCCTAACTAACTAACTATAGGCCTGGCCTCAGTCTCTAGGCGCAAACACTGAAATGAGGTGCGAGCATGATCTTACCGACCCCGGTCTGCTTCGTATTCGCTGGTGACTCCTGAACAGAACAAATGTCTCTCCAACAAGCATGCGGTATCGCAGTGTATGTTGCTTTGTTCCTCTGCTCTCATCAGCATTCCTGGCAGCAATTTTCCTTTCTCTGAACAGGATCAGGGTCTTGGACACGATCAGTTTCACTTAGCAGCAGCTCTGGTTACTGAGGGATGTTCTCACACCTGGATGCCATCAGATTCTCTGCTCACATGGCTCCTGCATTTACCATCCACAAAACATGGCTGCTGTCTCTACTCTTCCTGTTCCCTCTACTAAGTGTGAAAACCCCACCTCTTCATGAATATAGAAATATCTATGCAGTCTGAGTCTGTGTTAGGAAAACAGTGGCATCTTGTGGCCAAACCGCAGAATGTCAGTCCTGAACATTTAATTTACCCCACACAATAATTTACTGCACACAAACAGTGTTCAAACAATGAGAGCTGTTTCCCCATTTCACAAGAGAACCACCTTGCGCCCATCATTTTACTATATGGCGGGCGGGAGGTGGTTAAAGAGGAGTTCCACCTAAAACCAAAAAAAAATGAAAGTCAGCAGCTACAAAAACTGTCCAAGCGGGGGTCCAATCTTTAAAGTGGAACTTCCCCTTTTGGGTGCAACTACGCATTTACTGAAGATGCTGTTTTGCCATAGAGTCCCTGTCTGCTTTTTGCGGCGTAGTCGACCAAGTTCAACTGCATGCATGAGTGCAAGCTCTGGTCTGAGACTAAATATTTCCAGCTACAACTGTAGGATGTAGACTAGTCCAATATGTAATCACACATTCCTGAAAGGAGAGTGGTCTAGCTTGTCTATATAGTCACATTCCTGTGGTATGAGTTGGTAACCAGGATATTAGGAGGCTTCATTGGATATTTCTGAGGCCAGCATTAATAGGAAATATGTAATATGCAATTTCCCACCATACTGTTTAACTACCTGCCGACCGCAGATAGCCGAATAACGGCTTCACTGCGGCCGGCCAGTTCTGAGTGGACGTCATATGACGTCCTCCCAGAACGCGCTCTCCTGCGCGCCCCAGGGGGCGCGCACCCTGCGATCTCCGTGATCGCTGTGTCCTACGGACACAGCTGATCACGTGATGTGGTAAAAGGCCAATCACAGTGGCCTTTTACCACGTGATCAGCGGTGTCCAATAGACACGCTGATCAGAGGGAAATGCAAGTGCCGGTTCTCGGCTGCACTTTCCTCACGCTGTCAGATCGTGAGGAAAGTACTGCCGAGAACCGGCAGTTGTCAGAGCGGGGATCGGCACCGATCATCAGGGCACTGATGATCAGTGCCCTGATGATCGGTGCCCAGCAGTGCCACCCGCAAGTTCTGCCCACCTGTGCCCAGCAGTGCGCCCACTAGCTCCGCCCACCTGTGCCCAGCAGTGCACCTACCTGTGCCACTCTGAAGTGTCACACACCTGTGCCCAGAAGTGCCACCTACCTGTGCCCAGCAGTGCCACCCACCTGTGCCCACCCACCTTTGCCCACCAGTGCCACCCACCTGTGCCCACCCACCAGTGCTGCCCACCAGTGCCACCCACCAGTGCTGCCAGTCAGTGCCACCAGTCAGTGCCCAGGGGTTGTGCCAGTCAGTGCCACCAGTCAGTGCCCAGCAGTGATGCCAGTCAGTGCCGTCTATCAGTACCCATCATCAGTGTCACCTATCAGTGCCGCCTATCAGTGCTGCATATTAGTGCTGCCTATCCGTGCCACCTCATTAGTACTGCCTATCAGTGCCCTTTAGTGCCGCCTATCAGTGCCGCCTATCAGTGCCCATCAGTGCTGCCTCATCAACGCACATCAGTGAAGGAGAAAAAATACCTGTTTGAAAAATTTTATAATAGAAACAAAGAAACTTTTTTTTTTTCAAATTTTTTGCACTTTTTTTATTTATAGCGCAAAAAGTAAAGCGCCCAGTGGCGATTAAATACCACCAAAAGAAAGCTCTATTTGTGAGAAAAAAATGATCAAAATTTCATATGGGTACAATGTTGCATGACCGCGCAATTGTCAAAGTGCGGCAGCGCTGAAAGCTGAAAATTGGCCTGGTAAATAAGGGGGTATAAGTGCCTGGTAGGCAAGTGGTTAAGTCAAAAGTATATTGTCATTGGTAAAAACTGGAAATCTGAGCATTGGCACACCCTAACCCACTTCACATACTTTACTGTTGGCAGTGGTGTATTATGGTTTTGTGCTGTCCTAGGCCCCAGACCCCCTATCTAAATCTGTCCCACCCCTTCCTGTTCAAGATCCACCCTTCCTCTTTAGACTCCACCTCTTCCTGCTCATCATTGGTGTCAGTGGGAGGAATAGTGCCCCATCATTGATGTCAGTGACACCAATGATGGGGCACTATTCCTCCCACACTGACACTAATGATGGGGCACTATTACTCCTACTAAGACCAATGATGCTTACATTGATGAGCCCTGCTGCAGCCCAGGCTCCCTCCCTCTCCCATCCACAGCCAGCATACCTGGCTGCAGCAGCACTATCTGCTGTGCCCAGATCCCGGCTGCACGGCCCCGGCACAGACACTTACCTTACTGATCAGCAGTCTTCCCTCTCCAGCCACTCTCTTCATCTTCACAGGCTCCGGCTGGTCCCTCACTCCGATCTTCATGCTGCCGCTCTGCTCCTCTTCTCTGTCTGTGTGCTTTCCCTGAGCTACAGATCCAGCGAGGAGGCAGAGCTTGGAGAGGGAGGTATAGGCTGCCCAGTGATCCTGGGGGTGTTGCCAGATGAGAGGGGCCCACCCACATCGTGATCCAAGATCCAGGGAAATTAAGACACCGGATTAGACAACCTCTCTACCCCTCCTCCAGCAGCACCTCGTGGACTGGATCGAAGTAGGACAAGGAGTCACGGACACGGGTAAGACACAGCAGCCCCTGTCCAAAGTGTCCCTGTTGAGGGAAAGGGGGGGCCGCGCTGACCCCCTGAAAAGTGCCACCCTAGGCAAACGCCTTTTTTGCCTCACATCAAATACGCCCCTGACTGTTGGCTGTTGATGTTGCTCATCACCAAGAATAAGTTGCAGAAGACTTCTGCACTGGAATGCCATTTTCTGCTTTCCTGTTTTAGGGGCTCTTGTGAGCTTAAGAAGCTTTGCAAAGCTACATACAGGCACTTATGGTGCCTTCTTTTTATTAATTTTGTCACTTTACACAGTTTTCAGTTATGATAAATGTACTTAAAAGTGTAACTGTTGTTTCCTTCATTACATAAAAATGAAAGTAGGTTGCAAAAAAAGAATACTGCACTCTCCAGCAGGTGGTGTGTTAACATTTCACTGTAATGGAGAGCTACAGACACCAGGTTTGTTGAATAGCATGCCCCACCACTGCCTGCTTTATGTTCCCCCCTGCTAACACTTGTATTGGTAAAGAACACAGTAATGGTGTAGGGAGGGGGGGCATAACCACTATTCAACAGCAAGTGGGGGACACTATTCAACATGTGGTACATTGGTTGTGCTGCTGTTTATAGAAAATTGGACAGTAAAGACAGCCCAGCATAATCCCCCTCCACCCAGCCTCAGTTTTTTTTCTATTGCCCTTGAGTTGCAACAGCCTTTCTACACCCTTTCAGGGATAACTTCTTCCTTGGTTTTATAGCGGTAAAAATTCTCAGCTACTTTGTCTGAGTTTATTGGAAAAATAGCCCATGACTCAAAAACACAAGGGCTGCAGGTGTGCTTCTAGGCCCTAACTGCCTGAGTCACTTAGAATTACTTGGGGCTGCAGCTGCTTCTGCACAATCATCTAAAGATGGGGGAGGATTGTGCGTTATCCTTTTTTGGAGGAGTTAGTATCCTTCAGTTTTAGAGTCTCCAGACTCAGCCTACCCTATTACCATCTTGGTCCTTTATTGATGTGGTCTGCACATGCTTAGACTTGGGGCTGTGTGCATAAAAGTTACCCACATGGAGTATCTGATTAGCCCTTTGTTAACTTCTTCAGTAAATTTCCTATTGCAACCAGTCTTGTATAGTGATTGGCCTAGTCTGGATAAAGTCTTTGCTCCTCAAAAATGCTTTGCCCAACTAATCCCTATGGAGGAGGGGTTCCTAAACATTCCTCTATCTCCATTGTGGACCTGGCTATTTCCCGTCCTAACAAAAGACACTGAATAAAAGGCTAGAAGTGTTTTCTGAATCCTTATTCTCCCTTGTAGG